GCCTTCAAGACAAAGGAACTCTTCCGTCAGCATCGGGAAACAACCAGCCATCTTGACAAAACAACCCTAAACCCTAAACCCTAAACCAAAACTTGGCAAAACCCAGCCTCCAACGGCCAGCCAGCCTTCGCGTCCAAAGCGCGGAGACATCGCTCCTCGAGAGAAAACGTTGCGTCGAGGTCGAGTAGTCCTCTGTGAGTCTGTATGATGCAATTGTTTCATCTACTACCACCTGGGCCTCTGACCAATTCGTGCAAGATTCCAGCTGACTCCCAGGCCCTCTTGCCTAATCGACCTTCTTTCAACCCAACTGAACCTAATATAGGGCCTTAATGATTTGAATAGGGTTTGGGGCCCAGTGTACTATACCAACAATAAGGAACTCCCCAGAATAATGTAGGTAGTTATTCAGGCCCCTATATTAACCTACAAACCCGTAAACCCTGAAAGCGCATCTATAACCCGGAACCCCTCACACCACAGGACTGGTTCCCTGTTCGGGCCATATTAAAGACGATCAATGTTTAATGCTTCTTGGGTTTTACCCTAAGCCCTAAACCCTAAACCCTAAACCACGGTTTAGGGTTTAGGGCTTAGGGTATTAAAATTGTAGCTAACAAGGACCGAACTCCAGGCCGGCAGCCCCAAACCACACCAGCTCCCCCGCCTCGGCACCGGGGCGTGCAGGGGCCAGGGTCTCGGTGATCGGATAGCTCAGCCCCCCAGGGACCTGCAATGCCAGCGATGTCTTTTTAAGGGTTTAGGGTTTAGAGTTTGGGGTTTAGGGTTTAGAGTTCAGGGCTTAGGGTTTAGGGTCTATAGGGCTTAGGGTTAACACTTCGAGGCTCGGTGGACCAGGCTTTAGGGGCTTCTTTGGGGTTTAGGAGGGTTTCGGGCTTGGGACTAAGTGTGTAAGATGCTTCAGCAGGCTTCAGGGTTTAGGGTTGTGCATGAACTCCTTGTCTGCCCAGGTCTTAGGGTTGAGGCTTTAAGGTTGATGCTTCAATAGGCTTGAATCGGCGCATGTCCACCTGCTTACGGTTTCGGGCCCAACAGAAGCTCCAAATCTTAAATAACAATTGAGAGAAAACCAACATAAACCCAGTATCCGAAGCCTTCCCCGCCGTCCCCAAAGAAGCTCCGAAATGAGATAAAACGGCTGCAGCATCGGAAGACGCAGAAATCCGGGTATAAGCTTGGGCAATTGAACATTGGCTTGAAAATTGGCTTTTCCACAAGGGTCTAATAGCTGTTGGGACCCCATCAGCCTTTTCCCCTTCGTCCGAATGCCTTGGAGTTGGACATGGAGGGGTCCAGGCCCAGCAGAACCTCCAGCATCACCATGCAGAAGGAGTAGGCCTGGAGTCTGCTACACTTGCTTAGGATTTTACCCTAGACCCCAAACCCTAAACCGTCAGACCCAAGCCTCAACCACGAAGCCGTAACAAAACCGAAACACCCAGGGGTTCGGGTTTAGGGGTTTAGGGTGCAGGGGTTTAAGGGTTTAAGGCTTAGGGACTCCAAAACCACCCCCCAAGAGTCCCTCGAAACTTTGTCCGATGCGCCTCCGAAGCTTCGCTGACGCGGCCTGTCTTCTCGTAGAGCCTCAGCACGCGGCTTCTTGTGTTTAGGGCGTTTAGGGGTTTAGGGCTTCTCATGTCAGGGTTGGAGTTTAGGGTTTAGGGTTTAGGGCTTTTAGGGGTTTAGCGCTTCTCATGTCAGGGTTGGAGTTTAGGGTGTACCTATAGTCTCCATTGTAGTTCCTTTTTGTGGGTGGTTTAGCCACATATTTATTTAGGATCCTGTAGGTAACCCCAAAAAGGAACTACAATGGAGACTATTGGTAGGGTTTATAAGGTTTAGGGATGATGAAGGACCCCTTCTGTATCCACAGAGCTTGCAGGATTTGATTTCGATTCAGGATTTGGGGTTAGACGTAACTGCGGCTAAGGCTTGTTTGTTTAACGGGTTTGCAGAGGTTTTCAGGATTTGGAAACCTCTGTATGAATCCGAAGTCCTAAATCTTATGAACCAGGAACCCGTAGCGGAACAGAACCCCAGCGAAATGCTGCAAAGAAACGGACAGCGGTAGCCCGGCGTGCCGGAAGCGAAGCGCACATCCACATGGTCGGCGCCGGCGTGGCTGGAGGAGCAACTGAGCCTTAGACGCAGACTCCGAAACCCCTGAATTCAGGGCCCCTTAGCACGCCAGTCTCGCGAACATTCCTGAGGAATTCCTGCAGAACCCTGATGATGCAAACCCCCTCCCAACTAATGTAAGAAGGAGCCTCAATAATTAGAATAGGGTTTTGGGGTATAATATACTATAATAATATTAATAAGGAACCCCCAAAATAGTACAGGTAACTATTCAGGCCTCTATATTACGGAGAGTAAAATAGGGATCCGAATACTGGGGTGTTTCCAGGAAGCCGAAGTTGATCACCATTGGTCCCCGTAATGCTTCTGAAGGATCCAAACCCTGAATCCTGAACTACGAGAATTTCGGTGGAGGATCTTCAGATCCTTTAAGTCGATCTGTAAGGCCTCCGATAGGGGCTTCTATTCTAAAAGCCCTGTAAAGGGTTTATATAAGGGTAGTTCTCTGCATTAGCGTGTGGTCTTGGAGGGCTCATGGGCTAAAATTGGGTGGGGGAGGATTCAAAGTGTGGATGCTGGCCCAAAGCACCCAGACTCTGGGTCGGGTTCAGGGCTCAAGGTTTGGGTTGGGTTGTGGAGTTGGGGATACATGCAGGAGCTGGGACACAACCTGCCAGCCAAGCCACGAAAAGCCAGATTGCAAACTCCGAACAGCGCAGCAAACAAACAAGTCCGACCCATCAATCAACAAACTTAGTAGACCAAAATCCTGCAGATGCGTGGCAGAAACCTATCATCCTGGGCCCGAACACCCAAACCCCAACCCCAAAACCTAAAACCCTGAACCGCAAACCCCAAAACCTAAAACCCCAAAAACCCCAAAATGAAAACCCCAAACCCCAAAACCTAAAATCCCCGAACCCCAAAACCTAAAACCCCCGAACCCCGAACCCGACGTCCCAGACGCCCGAAGTCAGCCATCTTGGCCGTTCCATGCCGGTCCAACCTGGCTTTGGGGTTTAGGGTTTTAGATTTTGGGGGTTGGGGTTTAGGGTTTTAGGCTTTAGGGTTTAGGCTTTGGGGTTTTGGGGTTCTTGTCTTTGCCTCTCTTAGGGCAGTGTTGGGCTTAAGGGTTTAAGGGTGTAGGGTTTAAGGGCTTAAGGGCTTGTGTAAAGGGTTTAGGATTTAAGGTTTAGGGCCTTGGGCTTGCAGGGATCAGGGTGTAGAGGGTCAGGTCTTACAACTCTCAAATCCAGCAGAGCATAAGCAAGGACTTGAACCTTCAAGCTTAGCCAAAACCTTACACACCAAACTACCACTATCTTTTCTCATGCAGGATCTGCACACGCCCACGCCTGCGTTAAGTGTGTATTATGAACTTGTTAATCCGACATCGAGGAGCAGGATGTTTGCCGACTTGATGTCACGGTGGAAGGCCTTCAAAGCTGGATGGCTGGAGGATGGCTGAAGAGATTTCCGAGCTTTTGGGATATGGAGTTCGGGTTCAGACGTGGGAGCACTGGGCGCTTAGTAACACTCCGCAGGAATAGTGTCGCGATCCGGTTGTCTTGAGCCTGTCGGGTGTTCGCTTCGAATGTCTAGCGCCTCGGACCTCACCTTCTGCCGGCGAGGGACAAGACAAGCAGTCTGTATGCAAACTTGTGAGAACACAAAGGCCGCAGCGTGGCAAAACCCTATTCTAATTACCAAGGACCCTGTGCTATAACCTACTGTTTGTCACCCTTCTAGAATCCAAAAGGAACCCTCAAACCCTTTCCAGGACTCCTCTAGGGTTTGGCGGCTGTGTTCCGAGGCGTTTTTGACCGGAGATTCGGCTCGTTGTCCAGGGCCACTCAGAGTTGAAGCGTGAACTCTCCCTTCAAACGGGGCGTCGAACGAACTTTAGAAGTTCTAAGCGACTACCAAGCTTGGCCGGTGTGTGTTGCGAGATGGCCCAAGCCCCAGCAATCAAAGCCTCTGATGACCCCAACTTCCAACTCCAGCTTGGAAATCTCAGCATCTTCGGACAAAAACATGAATCCTAAATCTGGTCTAAACCACATGAGTCCTGTAAAAGCATCTCCCCTAAACCCTAAACCCTAAACCCTAAACCCTAAACCCTAAACTGTAACCCGATGATTTTTTGACCTCCACACCTCAGCCCTCGACTCTTCAGTTCATTGCAACAACTTAGCTTCACCCTGAACCCTAAATGCTAAACCCTCTAACCTTGGAGTACGAGAATGAGAACTCATGTCATAACCCTAAACCCCTAAACCTCATACACCCCGGAACTTTAACTTCCTGCCTTGGGCGTGGAATTGTGCATGTGGGAGAGTCCCGTGGCGGCATCCAGGCAGACAGATAAGCGCTCGTGCCACGGAAACGGAGTGGGGCTTTGCGATCCTCGGAAGATGAAGGCTCCAGGATGTCCTAAAACGTTGCTTAAAGTAGGTAATTAAAGTAATGCCCCGAACACCTACAAAATGCCATGAATCATCCTATATACCTTTTGGGGTCCAGGTTAGGGTTAGGGTTTGCTTCCTTTGCTTTACGCCTGTTCCACCTGCTCTAGGGACCAAAAATGAACTGAGGGTTAGGGTGAAGTTACAGACGGAAGCATCGGTAGCGAGGGATGAGAGTCGTCTTGGTGACCGGCTTGACTTGGGTGCGTCAAACCTCGCACCCTGGGGTTGCCAATGCATTCAGCTCAAGAAAGACTGTTTTTGGTCACTGAAATGAGGCCGTGCTTGCAATTCTTCGTACTAAGTCTGATTCTGAGCGAAGTGGCAAACATGTCAGATCGCCTGCAGCACGACTTTCCGTGTGGAGAGTGAAAAACTCACTGTCACTCCTGCTTGGCCATCTGCTATAGGGCCGCGAAGACAGAAGCCCGTCGATTAAACATGTCTATACCGGGACAGTGCTTTCTCAACTTTCTTGCACAGGTATGAAAGCTGAACACCACTTGCCCGAAAGTCTTGTAGGGCTGTGAGGGCAGCCTCGCGGCGAGGCTTTGTGACCTTCTGCAGCAGAGCTGCAACCTCATCGGCATTCCCTTCCAACCGCCCCAGGAGCGCAGATATGTACACCTCTGCAAAGACGATGTTCGGTATGGTCCCAAGCTCTTGCATTGTCGCACGAACACCTAAGATGATCTTGAGCGGAGCTTCCTGGTAGGCTCCGACAAGAGCCGCAAAAGTGGCCACGTCAGGGTGCAAGCCCTTGTCTAGCATTTGTTGGAACAAAAAGCGCGCTGCCTTGTGACGGTCAGGCAAATCTGAGTTCTTGCAAGCATTGATCACAGAACAGAAGCGCGAGGCATCTACATCATACCCGTGCTGCAACATGTAGTCCAAGCCCTCCACAGAAGCCATGAAATCACCGGCTTCCGCCCCGGCGTCGATAAACGTGCCTGCTACGAACTGGTCAACCAGGCCACCAGTCTGGGCTTCTTCCCAAATGTCCTTGACTTTCTGGTGCTGTCCCAGCTTGCCGAAGATCTTGATGCCCATGGTGAGGGGCACGGTAGACGTGAGCTCTGCCGAGCTGCGTCGCAAGGCTTCATAAATCTCGGCGGCTGCCACATACTTCCCACATTGGAAGGCTGCCTGCATTGCAGCACAAAACACCGGAAACGCTGAACCTGAATACGAGGACCAGAGTGCCTGGATATGAACCCAGTTCCGCCCCTTCGCAGCCTCTGCAAGTTGTGTCATGAGCTTGGCCTCTCCTGATGTGAGGCCATCCATTTTGACAGCATTTGTGCCCGAAACAGGGACACGGATTTGAGATCCTTCCTTCTCTCGAAAGCGGCGCATGCCCATCTGTGCAAAACAACCCCGCAGCGGCCATCCGTGGAGTAGAAATGCGCCACATTTCAGCAGCACAAGCAGCGTGAAACAGCGGACCGCGACCCGTTCCAATTTGACGTGAAGCGCAGAGCGGTGATGTTGCTTCATAGAGTACCGCAGATGACCGGTTCCTGTTCTTTCTCAGCAAGAGCCATGAGTGCTGCTGCTGGATGTAATTTAGGTGCAAGCCAAGCAAGGGGCGCAAAACCTTCGAATGCGGACCCATAAGATTAGTGCCGTTTAGTAGGGTCCAGTGTGCATTTATTGAGAGACTCCTAAGAAGTAGGTTGTGGTGGTTTCAGGAAAGCACCAAGCATCACCTGACACTTCGCAACACCACGAAACCAAGGGGTGTTCTACGGGCTTTGTGGTTTTACTAGGGTGTAAGATGATACAGGGGCCGTAATCGTTGGGGCAAGATCTTCGGGTGTATACTGCCGTATTGGTCCTATAGTATAGGTAACAGGCACCACACTAATGCTAAAGAAACAGGCGGCTGTTTTGGAGGGTTCCCCGTTCTGCATGGCAACTCTTGCAAGACTTGAGGTTGTAACCTTGGAACGATTGCCAATCGTTCCAGCTTTCAGGTTGAACTTGTCAGCCACAAGCACGATAAGAAAGGAATGGTTTGACGAATGTAGGGGCCTGAAAAAGAAGAATAGGGATTTGGGGGGATTTTATCCAGTACGTATCCAGTACGTATTTGATGCGAGGAACCCTAAGGAATAACAGAAGTAGTTCTTCGGGGCCTAAACCCTAAACCCTAAACCCTTAATCATCGTTATCCCTGCCATGGTCTATCCAAGGTGCTGCTCTTATGGAGCCGTCGGAAGAGATCCCCACCAGACAGGAGCCTGGAGCAAGAGCCGGGCTCAAGAAAAACCGAAGTACGGAGCTGCCTCCGCGCGTGTGTGCACGTGCTTAGGAGACGGTCATGAGTCATGGTTTGGGTTTTAAGCTTTTTGGAAGTATAGAGTTGAAGGCTATAGGACTGTAATATCATGAAGCTTCCGAGAGTTTGTGGGCTCTGCGGACCTTTGGCAATCAAAACGACAACCTGTCCGCAGTGTCACGAGGCCATCCGATGAGAGAACGCTCCACAAACCAAAGCCCTGCGCCAGAACCCTTGCAGCACTGAGCCCGACACCCTGAACCCTCAACCCTGAACCACCAACTTCACCGAAACCCTGAACCGTCCGTCCCTATATCCTAAACCCTTATAGTAGCCCTTATAGAACCTTTTAAGGAACCCTTTGAAGGAAGCCCCCAAGCCCTGAGCCCTCCACCACAACCCCCAAAGCTTGAAGCCTTAGCCCTCAAGTTCCGAGCAGCTCGTAGACTAAGTATCGGGAGCTGCCGTGGCTTCCCCAGCCCAGCAGTGTCACCAAGTTCGGGTGCCGGAACTTGCTAAGCATGATGACCTCGAGGGCAGTGCTTTGCTGTTGATGGACAACGTCCTGCATGACTTTATATACGTAAACTATGGGATTTAAGGTACTATACTATATTTGGGTCATGCAGAATTTTGTCCATCAGGGTGTTTATTGATGGTTCACGAGCTAGCTGCGTTCGGCACACTCAACTGTCTGGACGTCTATGGCCTTAGGATGCGGATGATGTACAGAACCGACAGGGCGGCGAATGGCACACCTATCAGAACCTAAACCCCCTCCCCCCGCCACCCCTAAACCCTAATGTTATCGAAACAAGTAACGTTAATGTAGGACCCTCAACTAACCCTAAACCCTAAACCCCTAAACCCTAAGCCCTAAACCCTAAACCCTCAACAACCCCCCCCCCCCAGGCCTCCTCATCGAAGCCCGCGTCCTCCGGAGAGTCGCCGGCGCCGACCACGGCGGCCAAGTCGATCGCTTTCACGGCCACCTCCGGAGGAGGCTGTCGTAATGTAGGGGCCTTAAGAATTAGAATAATAATTCGAATAGGGTTTTGGGGTTTATCTTACATTTAATTATAATAAGGAGCCCCCAAAATTAGTATAGGTAATTCTTATGGATCATTAAGGCCCCTACATTAGAGGGTTCCGGTAAGGGTCGCTCTAAGGGGTCCGATGAAGCTTCCTGCAAGGGAGTTCCTCAAGGGATTCTTGTTACGACCGCCTTAAGGGATCTGAGGCCAAAGAGGTTCACAGGGGTCTGACTCGCCATGATTGTCCAGGAAGGATTTTGAAGGGGCTCTAACTAAAATTTTACACTTGCGCGGATTGGAGGTCTGTCGCTTAAAGGTATATCAACTCTGGTGCTAAGGCATGTCTTGATTCTGGCTCATCAATTCGGAGCGGGTTTAGGGCCTAGGAAATATTACCCTTAAGAACAATGCTTGCGTCATTACCGGAATTTCCCTTCCTTCTGTTGCCGACCGGGCCAAATCGTTCCCCAAGGCTGAGCAGCAGGAGTACTGTAATTAGGGGACTTAATCAGTTGGTGATGTCTGGTGAAAACATCCTTCAGACTTGGAGCTGCCTAAACCCTAAACCCTAAACCCTAAACCCTTAACCCGAAACCCTAAAACCCTAAA